TCTGACAACATGGTCAGTTATGCTAGGTGAAGCAATATACTAGGTCATTGATAATTCTGATAGGATATTGGCATTTTATGAGCTAAGAGAGCTATAAGTAAATTAAGCTTTGATAAGCAAAGTGAATCCCTAAACTTTAGTTTGAATAAGACTTTAATTTTTAACATTATGTAAACTGAATGATGGTTAACAAAGCTAGTCTTATTATCACTGCTTTAATATTTTTTAATTGCCTCCAATTCATTTTATTCCTCTAAAATATCAATCAAAGTTTTGCTCATTATTTTTAACCTCTTATGTTAGAATTTCTTTTGTGAGGGGGAGACTTTGGGTTTTGTTGCAATTGTAAGGTTTACTTTTTTTTTTTTTTTTTAAGTTTTATTGTGATTTTTGTGAAAGTTTACAGAGCAAATTCACTTTCTATACAACAGTTCACAGATATTTTATTTCATGACATTGACTGCAATCCCTACAATGTAACAGCTCCCTTTGCACTTCTTCCTATTCTTACCTCTTCCCTGTGTCCTTTCCTATGCATTCCTGCCCTATAAGCTATCTCCCTGTGCAAATACTGCAATTCTGTTCTCCCGTGATTAATCGCTGTAAGCAATGTGTCTACTTGGTGTTAATGTTCACTCTATATGCCTGTCTGTTGTTTGGCTGGAAGCCATGGAAGTGATTCCAGTTCCAGGGCTGAAGGGTCACTAAGGGGACGTGGTCTTGTGGGTTTCACCAGGCTCAATGATACCACTAAGGTTGGTCTTTTTTTATGATTTTGAGTTTTGTTTCACAGTGTTCTACTGAATCCAGGATCTTCTGTACTGATTCCTTTCTGAGTGATGGTAGCCAGGCACCATCTAGCTCTTTAAGTCTCATGGTCATATAGGCTGAGGTTTGCATGGTCCACTGCTCTCTTGGATTAATTGTCTCCATGCATCTTTGGTTTTCTTCATTCTTCTTTGCTCTGGATGAGGAGAGACCCATTGTGGCATCTAGATGGCCACTTGCGGTGATGTTTACTTTTAATTTTCTGTCAATTTATGAGCTCATAGTTTTAATATGAAGAACTATTTACCCCCTTTTCCTATTTTAAATACAAGGCTTTAAGTGTGTTGAAATCATAAAAAATACTGAATATTGGAATTTTATGGTAATATGATTCAGTAGAAAGAGTTCTTCCTACAATGCCCACAAAAATAATTGTGTACTTATTTACTTCTTTTTATTTATTTTAATAACAGCTTCTGTTGAGATATAATTCATATACCCTAAATTTTATCCTTGCCAGGGGTACAATTCAGTGGTTTTTAGTATTAACGGAATTATATAGCTATCACCACTCTCTAATTTCAGAAAAGTTCCAGCATCCCAAAATAAAACCTGCTACCCATTCTCAATCACTTTCTATTCCTCCCTGCCTCTAGCAACCACTAATCTACTTTCTGTCTCTATGGATTTGTCTATTTTGGATATTTTAAATAAATTGAATCACATAATATATGGTCTTTTGTAACTGGCTTCTTTTACTTAGCATAATTTCAAAATCCACTCAAATTGTGTATATTAGTACTGGATTCCTTTTTATTGCCAAACAATATTCCATTTTATTATAAACATTTTGTTTATCCATTCATTAGTTGATACACATTAGTGTTGTTTCTGTTTTTGGCTATTATGAATACTACTGCTATGAACATTTCTATGCACATTTTTTGTGGACATAGACTTTTAATTCTCTTGGGTAGATACCCAAGTGGTCTGAGCACATGATATAATCTAGATGTAGATATTGAAAGGACTTCATGTGAACCAGAATAAATTTCTACTGTAGAGCTTCAATGAGTAGAAGTGAGGTTCAATATTTTGATATTCAGGGGTGATAAATTATCACTAACTTTAATTAAGTATAGCTGACCAGATGTGGTAGTAAGGTTGTGTGTCTACTTGGCTGGGCTGTGGTTTTGAGTAGCTTGGCAAGTGGATGTAGTTATTCCCAAATGAGATTGGATAATTAACTCCATGGTGGAACCTGCTGTAAGACATTAATCAATGGAAAGGGAACAGCCTCTGGGGTGTGGCCTCCTTCCAGTATGTAAGTAGAAGCTTTGAGAAGTGTCTTAGCTTTTTAGCACATTTTGGGTCATGTTGCCTGCTGGTCTTGTGCTTGTTTCTGGACTTAAAACTGGTAGCCTGCTGTGTTGTCTGCTGATTTTGGGATTGTACCATTACCTGCTGATCTTGGGTTCATCAGCCTCAGCAGCTAGCAGCTGTGTGAGTCAGAAGACGCCTCCAACTCCAGTGGGTCTGGAATGAGAGGCAGAGCTGAAGCCCAAGGTCAAGAGACTTTCACCCAGCCCCTAGAGCCAGCACTCTGAATTTGG